TCCTGGCTGAACCCAGCACACGCCCACATCCAAAGAACCTGAGAGACATCTACTTCCATCACTGCCTCTGTTGCATGGTCTGTACTTGATGGTCCACAGCCTCTACACAATGCATTGGATTCATAAAGGCTCTTCCAGATGTTCCCTATGGATGCAGTTCCTCACAGTGGCTTCCACAGGCTACTCTGTCTTCTCTGCCCATTGCCTCTTAGGGGTTTCCCTAGGTTACAGACAGACACACACCCCAGTTCTTCAGCCTTCCCCCTGCACTGGCCCCAAATCGCCACTACACAGTATTTTGCCTGCAGGCCACTGTGCTGCTGCAAGGATTGCTGAAGTATAAAGCCTGTTGAGCATTATGAAATGAAGGTGTTGTCCAGTGGGTGATCTGACACACAGCAACTGACACGTCCAGCTGCTGACCGCTGCACAGAGAGGACAGCAAAGGTCTGAACAGCTGTGAGCAACTCAAAGGCTTTGGAGTCTTTCTTAGCTGCCAATATTTTGTCATTGTGACCAGTCCAGTTTCCCAAGGTTACTCTATTGTACACTCTGGATAGTCATCCGTTAAAAATGCTAAAACATTCTGAAAAATGGTCATTAATCTTGAAATTGTCAGACAAATTATTTTCAATGAGCTCTGATGGCTCATGTGCTGGAAGCCTGGGAGGGCACTTGAATTAAGTTTAATCAATAGGTACATATGGTATTGGATGCATCCAGGTAATTTGTCATCCAGGAACTTGAAATAAATGTGCAGCATTACACTTTATTGGGAGTCACAGTAGTGACACTAATAAATGTACAAAACCCAGCAGTGGCAGCAAGGGCCGTTCAACATCACAGCATCGGAACTATTTTTAAATAGGATTTTCAATAAAAAAATTTTCCCTTTCAGAAATAACCCTCTGTTTTCTGCAGAACCTGTTGGCTCCTAAATCAGAAAACAGGGACTTTTTTTGACTGAGACACACATTATTTCTTGTGAAGAAGCTGGGATGATGTGTCACTCTGCAGCCCCGCTCCCCCATCCAGGCTGTGCTCCATGCCTATTTATCAGCCAGGGTGCACCACGAACACAGAAGCCTGATGATGCACTACTGCACTTCATACGTAGCCATAATGTTCCTACATTTGCTGGATTTACCACTTGTTAAATGGGAAAAAGAGCCATCAGTGTGATGGTCTGAGATTTAGGGGTAGGGGCTTTGTTGTTTTTTGGTTTTGGTTTAGTTTTTTTTGATCCTTCTTTTAAGATTCTTTATGGGAAGGGACTATTGACTCCAAAATACTATTATTTAGCAATCAATACAGATTATGTAATGCATTTTGTTCAAGCTGCCTAACTCTGACATTTCACTTGCAAATAGTGCAGCTTTTCCTGCTTGTTAGCAATAATTTTCTGCTGTATTCTTTGTGTTCTCCAGATCCCATCTGATGGCAGATGTCAAACAGGAAAACTCCAAATCAACCAAAAGGAGGCACTTCCTATTAATTTTCTTTTTATCAGTCTCTCATGATTCTCCTGGGTTATTGATACTAGGAGACCTAATATACTTTGCATTTCTTGCAAATTTAAACTAATTTTTCTTTATACCACGTTTGGGCATTGTATCCAGATTTGCCATGAGAAGCTACGGTGTGGTCCCTCTACAAGACTATTCTAGAACTATTGGTAATCAGCTGCTTAGCTTATAACCATTGTACCATTACGTATCTTGAATGATCATCATTTTGGGACCAAATAAAATATTTAACTCATTCTATATAAAGACAGAGAAGAGGAATTATTTGGGTTGATTTGACTGACTTTTCCCATTTTATTCTAGTTATTAATAGTTCCTCTCTACTCATCCTGTCATGCATGAGCATAGTCTTCATATTTGTCCTTCTTGTCACACCTCTCTCTTTGCTACAGTTCTGAGATGCTTGGGGATACCTGCGAGACTCATTACCAACTATTCTTCCGCCCACGATAACAATGCCAATTTACAGCTGGACTTCTTTCTGGATGATGAAGGGAAAGTGGACACCAAACTTACAAAAGACTCTGTCTGGTGAGTTCTCCTGGCAAATGCCTTTAATGTATCAACTGTATAAGCAGTAAAAAAACACAACAGCAATGCCTGTGGTTTATTTATTTCTCTATGCGTTAAAGAACGCTGCCAGCTTATGTAAAACAGAATGAATGGATTGTTAGTAGGCTGACTAATATGAAGAGCTTGTCACGTAAAGAGACAAACCCTAGGGGATCCCACTAATAATGATACCATACAGTGCACATTTAAGCACACTGGAGGAGAGCTGGAATGGGTTTGTGCTTCTTAGGGCCAGGCCATTTCTAAAAATGGAAAGGGGTAGAATGGGCACTTGCATGAGTCTGGAGCCAGGCTTAAAGGGACACCTCAGTACCTATGGAAGAACACCCTTCTTGTTTGCTTCTGTCCAGTTCCCATATTTGTAGTCTGGTTTTACATTGTATACCTGCAGCTACTGTTGCAAATAGGTACTTACCAAAATGAATCCAGTTCAGCTGAAAAAGAAACAAGCCAAGGTATCATACCAGTTACTGAAATGCTATCCCCAGATTTATAAAAACTCCCTAGGGACAAGAAATGAAGCCTGCATAATCTTTTGGAGAAGACAGTCCTCTAACTTTCTCCTCTAACACTTACTGTCTTTTGTCTGACAGAAGTGTAACACATATTGATTATATGCTCTGTTTCGTAGAAATTATGTGTGGGTTATTGGGCCTCAAGTCTTTCCTCTTCAGACTGAAGCAGTGAATGTGACCTCTATATTCCTATATTCACGTGATACTCGTCCTATTCAGCGTTAACATACCTGATTTGTGTCAATGATATCTTCGGCTCATCAGCATAGCTGCTCATCAGCATATTTCATTAACAATCTCTGGAAGTCATTATATTAAAACTGTAATAAACCCATTCTGTGGTGGAGGAAATGACTGATGCTGTTATTGTAACCTCTTCTATGCAATTTCCACAATCTGCTACCAAGAGGAAAACAATTAGGTAGGTTCATTTACATCTGAAGCTTGTATCACAGCATCACAGAATAGTTGAGACTGGAAGGGACCTCTGGAAGTCATCCAACACCCCTGTTCAAAGCAGGGTCAGCTAGAGCAGGTTGCTCAGGGCTGTGTCTAGTTGGGTTTTGAGTATCTCCAAGGATGGACACTCCGCAGCCTCTCTGGGAAACTTGTACCAGCGCTCAACCATGTTCAGATACTGTTTTCTGATGTTCAGACAGAAATTTCTGTGTTTCAATTTGTGCCCATTGCTTCTTATCTTGTCAATGAGGGACACTGAGAAGAGCCTAGCTGTCTTCTTCCTCCTCAACTCCATAACCAGGCATTTATACACATGGATGAGATCCTATTGAGCCTTCTCATCTCCAGGCTGAACAGTCCCAGCTTTCTCAGCTTCTCCTCATGTACAGCAATTCCTACCAGTTTTCTATACCAGCACACTTGCTGAGGGTGTAGTAGGTCTAGTCAGCCAGGTCATTAATAAAGATGTTACACAGTATTGGACAGAGTATCAACCCCTGGGGTACACAAATAGGGACTAGTGGAGTTCACACCACTGATGAAAGCCCTCTTATCCCAGCAGTTTAGCCGGTTTTCAATACACCTTACTGTCCACTTATCTAGTCTGTAATTCAACGGTTTCTTTATGAGGATGCTCTGGGAGATGGTGCTAAAGTCAAAAGAGAAACCAACCCCCATGCACTGCTAACCCCTTGCCCACTGAGTCATTCATTTCACCAGAGAAAGCTACCAGGGTGGTCAGACAGGGCTGGCCCCTTGTAAATCCATACTGACTACTGTCAATCACCTTGTCCTTAATATGTCTGGAAATGTTTTCAAGAAGAATTTGCTCTATAACCTTCCCTGGGACCAAGGTGAGACTGACAAGTCTGTAGTTCCCTGGGTACTCCTTCTCTTCCTTGAAGAAAGGCATGATACTTGCTTTCTTCCAGTTCTCATGAACCTTCCCCAATCACCATGACCTTTCAAAGGTAGATAGGAGTGGTCTTACAATGACAAGGTCTTTGCCTTGTTCTCTCCTCTCAGGATCCTTGGGAGTTCCCAGTTAGCTAAGCTGCACCTGGTCTGTGTGACAGCAGGACCTCAGTAGGTCGCACAGGGCTGGTCCTTCTATGGCTCACAAAGCTGTGAAGGAATAGTCGCTCTTCTGAAACCTCCTCTGCCTATGAATGTTGTGAAGCAAGACCCAAAGACTGGCCACCTCACTGCTCAGTCCGTATACACCCAGTAATGGATCATTGCCATGATTCAGAATTTTCACTCACGTTTCTTCTTCATCCCTTCTCCTAACCTGATCTATGAAATACCTTTCACCCACTTTTGACATTTCCTTTTCCTTCCCTACCTTTCCCAGCTGTTTCCCAAGACTTCAGTCCTTTTCCATGGGGTTTATTTTTCCATTCTTTAGGGACAGGGCCAGATCATCAAAATAGTCCTTGCTTCACTGAAATCCATAGGCAACTTCACATTAACACTTCATCCTCCCATCCTACGTCTGCTTTGCTTTGGCTTGATTACTTTTTGAACTGCCTTGTTCATCCTTTTATCGTCCCAGTGCATTTATTAGTACATGGTGCACATAACCCTTTGGGCATGACTTAATATATTACACACCTCTTTTCATTTCTCCTCTGTGCCCTTTCTCTTCATTACTCTGTAACACACCATGGTAGCTCTCATGCTGACTTTAAATGGTTTGTGTCTTAACCTTGATTTTATTTTTAATGTCTCTTTTATTTCTTTTCCTTTTTTTTTTTTTTTAAAGAGGACAAGCTCAAGGTATTTATAATGATTTTTTAAAATTTATTTCTCACTTTTATTTATAATTTCCTGAAAACTGGAAGCAAAGCTCTTTTTCCTTATTAATATATCATTTGTATTGCCTTGTACTGCTGGAGCTGATCTGGTTTCAGGTTTTAAATACTCTCAGACTTCAGGGATACTTGGAGCCAGGATTTTTAGTCCAATCAATCTCTGAGTGTGGGGCTCCCTCTGAATGTTATCTGACATTTATTTATTTTTATTAAAGATCATCTTCTCCTTCAGGATAAGAAAAAATGACAACAACAAAACACATATACAAAATTACACAGACTTTGCAGAAAGTTATTTTTATAAAGCTGGCCGGATTTGGACCCATCAGTACTGCTTCTGTCTCTTTACTTTGTTCTCCTTGTCTTTCTTAATGATGATATAAAGACACTTAAAGAATATTTCTCTTGGATGGGAATCAAGACTCACTCTTACTGTGAGGTCCAAGCAGACTGACATCAGTACCTCAGCAAAAACTTGCTCGAAGTCACCCAGCTCCGTGGGGGTTCCTCCATGTCCAGGCCTGTGGAGAAATCCCTTCTGAGACCTCTGCTCTCCCATTCACTTCCAGCTCACTTTTCTCTAATTTCTCACTAATGATACCAGTGCTTCTCTCAACTCTGATGCTGAGCTTATTAGCTAATGAAAGGGCAGCAGCTGTTTCCAGCATGTGCCTGTCTCATAAGCAATACGAAGTACCCTTCTTAAATTGTCTTCCAGGCATAAACCTCACCTGGTCATCTCTTATTAATTTCCCCATCACTTTGCTTAGTCTATTTGTAATTATCTCTGTAAATATTTAATGGTCACTACATTGATCTGCACAGCCATTCTTGCTTTCTTTAATGGCTCAGGCTTGCTGTAGAATACAAGAACTACAGAATCAGTTTAACAAATTATAGCTGCAGAGCCAGGTCCTCAGCTGTGTTCACTTCTACCAGAGAGGTTTGTCTTACATTTTGGAGAGGCAAATGTTCCCCTCATCCTCCTTTCCTTAATGCCCATGTACTTTACAAGTAATGTCTTTCTGTCCATTCATATTCAGTATCCTTAAGTGTGTTTGTGTGTTTGTTATTTGCAAGGCAGCAGACCTGAAGACATTGCCGTCCTGTTGCGCCCAACACTACACTAGTAGAAACCAGTAAGAAAGCTCCTGTGCCCTAGGATGAATATAGAAAGAAAAAATAGAAGAAGCTGCATTACCTAATTACAGAATTGAAGCAGACCTGCCATTTTCCACACTGTTATCCCCCCCTCCTTGATTTTATCATCCTTCCCTCCTGCCTGCTCCTCAGGTTCTTCTTTTGCAGAGCACAAAGCCAATGACACATCTGAGTGATTCAAAGTGAGCCAGTGAAGGCTTCAGGGCAGGGATTGTCTCTCTCATATGTTGGCATAGCAGTTTTCAAAAACCCACCTACCACAAAGTACGTCCCCATTCTCTGGTAGCCCTCAGCAAAGCCCTGCGAGCATGATTCAGCATTGACTACTCTCAACAGCATCAAAAATCCTCTGAGTGTGCGTCATTTTCCTTGAATAATTCCTTTTTCTGTAGTGCTGCTTCATTAACTTTCCTAACTGACAAGTTTTAACCTGATCCAGGCTTTCATTTCCACTTTGAAATGTCTTGTTAGACAAGCCTCAGATCCTTCCGACTGCTCCATGGATGGTTTTCACCTATTAGTGAAATGGTCGGAGTTTAACAATCCTCATTTTGGTTGCTAATATCATTGTGTGTGCTAGGGGTTGTATCAGCAGCTACACAGATGTAATTTCATCCATATCTGCTGTAGGATATGTATAATTTGCAAGCAAAATTGCCCCTTTCTCTACTCCTTCCTTTTTTTATTTTTTGGAGTAATGACATTCAAACACTTTGCCGGCTTTACTGCAAGACCCTCTTCCCGGATTGTCTATTTTTCATGCTTGTGTTCTCCCTTGAGTGTTGGTAGCACTGCAGGAGGTTACATGATGTGTCTTTCTTTTCTGCTCATCTTTGAAACATTCTGGGGAGACTGTGATGGTGCTGTATTGTTCTGGTTTTAGTTTCCCTGAGCTGCAGCCAAGTGAGGGTATTTCAACCCTGAGCACCTAGACGTGCCACTCTCAGAAATTCACCTTTCAGTATACCATCCTGGCCCCTACAGGCAAGACCTGGCCCACAGTGGTTGTAAGTGGATTTTATGGAAAGCTGTATGTTCTAGGAGATCTGACCTCCCTCCTTGGTGTGACAGACTGGGAAGACCTTATAAAGAATCCACAGTGAGGACAGTCTTATAAAACCTATGCAGTTTATGCTCAAAACCCATGCTCAAAACTAAGCATGTTTGTTTTGAGCCATGAAAACAAATCTACACATTCTACATTATGGAATTCGTCCTGAAATCTCTTCAGAGAAGAGGTGACAAAGCTTCGGTCTTAATAGTTATAAAGCAGAGCATGCTTCAGTGGCTTGCAGAAGGTTCAAAACTTGCTTTAGCAGACAGACTGAAGTGGAGGTGTCTGGCTGGAAAGGGATTGTAGTTTGTGTAGATCTTCGTATACCCCAACAATCTCCCAGTACTGGAAAATTTTCTCAGAGACATTTGCATTCAGAACACAGCAGAAGAATCAAAAAGCTGCTTGAACTTGCAGTCAAGAAACTGCAGTGAAGAATTATGGCCTTCAGGCTTTAACAGATAGGTACCAAACTTTCAGACCTAAAAATCTATTCTCTAAAAAGAGCCAATTTTTTCACCCCTAAATTGGCAAATGTTGTTATTGAAGCAATGGCAGGACATAAATACATAGGTTTGTGTTGGTCTGTATGCTTCTTTCCCAGAATTTAATATTCTGGTCTCATCTCTTGTCTAAGGAACTATCATTGCTGGAATGAAGCTTGGATGACCAGACCTGATCTTCCTGTTGGTTTTGGAGGATGGCAGGTTGTTGATGGGACACCCCAAGAAACAAGCGATGGTAATATTGCATGAAACCCTCCTCAGCTCTCTTTCCAACATTTGGGTTCTTTGTGGCAAACAGTGAGCTGATGATAGCTGAACCAGTGCCACCATATGGCTGGCGACAACTTCTTGCACCAGATGAGCACAGTCATCTGTGCTCAGGGCCTTCTCCTGATTTGTTTTGAGCTCTAAAATAAACCTGTCCTTATTGTAACACTGCTCATGATGTATGTGCAGAAAACGCTGCATGAGAAGAGTGCTGCTTGTTACAGGAAAAATGTAGTCTTGTTGCCAAAACATGGCTTCTAAAATTTTAGAGAACTCATACAGGAGGCTGATCAAATAAATTCTCCTTCATTGTATGTCAGCCAGTTTCTGCAGCCCTTACTAAACTTCCTGAGCAGGCAGTAGGAAGGAGAGAAAAAGTGAAAAACCACTGCTCTTTCTTCCCAGCCCTCAATTTTCCAGTTCTTACAAGACATTCTTAGTAAGCAGTGAGATCTTTCTCAGGCTGTGGCATAACTGAGCCCTCTCAAAATCACCTGCTTTAAGCAAAACCAGCATTAACTGCATGTCAAACACTTGAGAGTTACAGTGTGCTTTATGGTGCCATTAAGGCACTGAACTATTAGGTCACTTCCAGCTTAAGTGTGTGTTGTTTAGAGGGCTGGCAAAAAAAATAATTAAGCTTTTCAATTCTTGGTCAGGAGTTTCAGTAAACTATTAAAAGTGTTCACCAAACCCCAATAATTCTTTTTCTTTGAGAAAATATAACATATTGACATGGTTTTAAACTAATTTAATCTTTCACTTTATCGCTTTTCTTCCCACAGGTATGTACAGGTGTGGCCCAGCCTCAGTTCAAGCCATTAAACACGGTCACGTTTGCTTCCAATTTGATGCTCCTTTTGTCTATGCTGAGGTACTTACCTGAAAATTTTTAGTGTGTTGGATGGTATCAGTGGGACCATAGGTGAGACAGAAGACAGGGCTCCACTGCAATTTATGGACCAAGAAGTCCATAGAAAATCTCATAATTATATTTTAGCATGCAGGTGTGGTATGGCTCTAATGAAGGACAGAGATTTCTCTAATCTCTGCTCACCAATGTGCAAAGCAGAAAAAGCTGTGGTCGTTTATTCTTCCCAGGTTCCAGCTATGCTGGAAAATGAGCCACTGTTTCTAGCTGCTCATCTTCATCCCTTGTTATCTCCTTCCCAGTCTTGCCCGCAAAGCTGCTTATGTTAAGGCTCCCTTGCTCTTTGCAGTCAAAACGGATGCAGTGATTGTAAAGAGGTCTTTGGTCACCATCTTCATTTTGGCTGCAGTGGGCCAAGGAGAGCTGACATGGGTGATATGACTGGCAGATCTGAGAGGGAAATATCTCCATGAGAAGTGAGAGGTCTGGAGTTTTAACCTCTTGCACTACCAGAGCTGGGTGCCAAGAACTGTTGCAGCTGTAGAACAAGTCTCTCTTTAATTAACTGTATATAGCTTAGGACAGAAGGTAATCAAGATATTTTATCTATGAAGTATTCCCCTTTCTGTGGTCTGAAGTTTTTTGGTGCAAGGAATGTGTAACACTACCCAAGTCCAAATGGTATCTTTTCAAGCCTACTCGAGTTTGCACTGTCTGTAGTTCTGGAGCAGTGAATAGTAAGATTAATCAAGTTATTATGATAACATATGACCAATTTTAAAAATGGGACTGCAACGTGAGTGGGACTTCAAGTCAACATGTCATTGTTTTGAAGGAAAATAGGCTGGTACCCCTTCCTCTCTCTACTTTCATGTTTCTTAATTTCTTATAATTTTATAGGTGAATAGTGATATTGTTTACTCAAGAAAGGAGAAAGATGGAACCCAAGTGATAGAAAATATTGACAGAACCCACATTGGGCAGCTGATTGTGACCAAGGAAGTTGGGGGTGATGGAATGATGGACATTACTGAGGAGTACAAGTTCCAAGAAGGTAACTGGAAATGGGGTTGAACCATACCAATGTAGATTTACCTCAGTCAGATCTTGGAATGCAGGTTCACAGATCTCTGACACTGAAGGAGCTGCATGAAGAGCTGCCAAGGTGCCCTCTGAAACTCTTTATTTGTAACTTCAACCTAGAAACACTGCAGATGGCTTGATAACAGCACAGACTTTGCTACTCAGAAGTGCTTTGGACTGAGTAAGCTGTAGTGAAAACAAAGGGTAGTTATAGAGTACTCAAAGCATTCAAAACAATTCAAGACTTTCTGTGCAGCTGCTTAGACATTTCTTACGCAGACCAGATGTTTGCACAGAGTAGATCAGCATAGTTCCAGTAATATCAATTAAGCTAGGTCAATTTATCTGAGTCTGTAAGACCAGCTCACTTGGAATTTGTGAGTTCTCCTAATATTAACTTCACCACAGGAACTTTCACACTTCTCATACATTCATTTCAGCTACCACAAACTAGGGAAGATGCACCCTTGTGATCAGTGAGTGGGCTAATGCAGTTACTCCTGTTTCTCTTCTAAACCTGATTTTCATTCTTTTCTAGGCTCTGAGGAGGAGAGACTGGCTCTTGACACTGCGGTGATGTACGGCGTTAAAAAGCAAACTACCCAAGATACCATGTATCATCCACAGACGGATGTTGACATGGAATTCCAAGTGCAAAAAGCAGTCCTTGGCAGTGACTTTAAAGTCACTATAACTTTCAGGAATAAAAGCCGCAACTCCTACACTGCTACTACATACCTTTCAGGCAACATAGTGTTTTATACAGGAGTCACAAAAAATGAATTCAAGAAGCACTCTTTCAGTGCAAAACTGGAACCTTCTTCATGTAAGATTTGCATAGTTGTTTTCAAGCCCGCTAGCTTTTTTTTTTTTTCCCTCTGTCATTAACTGTCACCGATGTCTCTACCCCTGGCTGGAGCCAATTCTAGTAGCTAGGGGTAGAATACTCTAATAGGTATCAGAAGGTTCCACACTCAGCTCTGGCTCTGCCTCCAGTGTCATTCAGAGCTGAGACTTTCTTCAGGCTGTTGCTCCCTGCATAATGATCTCTTACAGCAAGATGCATGTCTGGGAACATGTACCTTTTCTTATTTAGTACAAAAGAAGGCAAAGGAGTGCAGGTGTTAAGCTGCAAGGTATCGTTTTCCATACCTTAGTCTCCTGGCAGTATCTCAGCAAGTGAAAGAAAAGTTCTGGTTCCCCAGAATGTCATTTACAGGGACAAAAAGGTGAATACCTTGGCTTACTTGAAAGGCACTCACAGTCTCTGGGTGGGTCCAAGCGCACATCTGGCTTTGGAGGACTGGGTGGGTGCAGATTTTATATTTACAGCAATCTAAAAATTGATTTGTAACTAGAATGTACCACTATAGAGCAGGGGCGTTTGTCAGCTGGGCAGCATCCCAAAGGTCAGTTATCTTTATGGATGGAGTGTTCGCTTTCCCTAGTGCCCTCTGGACTGCAGTGGGGAGATCCTGCCTCCCTCTTCCCACGAGAAAAGCAGTTCCTGGCAGCATAGCTCACATGGCTGAAGACAGAATTTTGCACTTCTCCAAGTACGGAAGAGGGGTGTTATCCTTTTTTTACTTTGGGCATAACCAATTTATTTCCTGTCAGCCATGGCAGCCCCAATCGGAAAACAGTCAGCAAGTGTTGAGGACCTGCTGTACTCCAAAGCACCACGGAGCAGGCTGATGGTAGATCTCTGACTTCTCCAGCAAGAAGTGACTGCCAATTACTTGTTCTCCTGACAGGCCTGTGCTCTTGGGGTCAGTGCCTTCAGCTCAGCAGAAGTGATGAGAACGTGCTCTTATGGAGGCTAAGTCAGAGGATCCTCTACTTGAGCTCCCTACTGAGAAAGTCAGGAGCAATGATTTTGCCATCTTGACGCTGCTACTGGGCAAAAATAATCTCTGCTGAGCACAGCAGGAGTAACAGGACTTTGGGAGACCCAAGGATGGGCCTCTTGATCTGGGTCTGGTGCTGGATCACAGTAGCTCTGGCTGACCTCTGAGCTTTCTCCTTTGTCTTGTCTGTCTCATCCCAGCTCAGGATTCACTGTGAATCCTCTCTCCTCAAAGAGGACAGGTTTTGTCTCAGTGAGAAGTCTTTGTGGAATCACAGTTCCTCCTGTGCTGTGCAAAAAAAACTCTTCCACTTTAAGCAACATCTAAAACTGCATGATTTATTTGGAAGTTGATTAATCTCCATAAAGTAGGAGTCCACTTACAGGGATCTACAGGTGAAGGTTAATAAAAATTCTATCTCCGGTCTATAACAAAGCCCTGACAGATGCTTGATGGCTCTTAAGGGGTCTGGAAATGGGCTGACTCTGGGTTGCATTGCGTTGTTCCCACACAGCCTATCAAAACGTAGTGTGGGCTTTTGTATTGGCTTGCATCAGTTACTAAATATTTGATCTGAAATACTGCAAAAATTTTGGAGACTTGGCTAGGTACAGTAAAAAAAGTCAATTTCAACTGCTCAGTCTAAATTCTGTGCCACTTCTTTGATGGGGGAAAACTCAGCCGTCTTGTAGGAGATGTGCAAATACCTGCTACACCTTCTGGCTGTGCTTTGTGCTTGGTTCCAGGACTTACATCTGCTTTTGAATCAAAGGTCTGTAAGGTATTATTAGCTAAAACACAGGTTCTGTGATGCTTTGAGGTTCATCTATCTCCTCTGTGCAAGAAATGAAATGAATAGATGATGTTTAAGCATCACTGAACCTCATAATTCATTTTTTCTAAGTTAAGAAAATGGTTTATAAAAAGCTTCTTGAAACTTTGCTGGAAACTCTGAGTTGACTGATGGGGAGTGAATGCAGACTAGAGAGAGACACCTGAGAGAACAGAACATGGTGGGGGGGGTTGCGTGTCTACCAGAAGTGTGTCCCCATCACTGCCTCTGGTCAAGGAGACATGTTTTAAGGTATTACTGCTATTGAAGATGGAAATTAGCTTGTAGCTGAGCTACAGCCATCGACTTGTCAAGGGCTTTGTCCCACAGTGGGAAAAAACCCTCACAAGTTATGCCATCTCTGAAGGTGATAGCTCAAACCTGAGCATGGATTTTTTCACCTTTGCCTTGGCAAGGAGTACATGTGCCATCAGGAACAGTGTCTGAGCAGATGGGCAGTGTGAAGGGAGGCAGTGTGATCATTTGCAACTGCATGAGAATACTCTGTCAGGGGTGTGATGGGAAGACACCTTCCGAGGCACTCAGGCAGTATTTGTAGGCTTCATTCACGGCAAGAAGTGTAAATATATGTATCTGGGAGTAACAAAAGAATTAAAATATGATATATCTGTGTCAAAGGCATTCTTCCAGCCCATGCTGCTGAAAGAATGAAGCAAACAAGTTTTCAAACAGGAAACAAATTCGTCATTTTCAGAGTAATGATTAAAGGAATTGTGTGGGTTGAAAACATCTTTGAGGATTTGAATAGCTTAAACCTTCCAGTGCCTTCAAAAGTGCTTTCACATCTACTTGGTTATATTTAGTTTTCCCTATTTTTTTTTGAAAGGCTGTAAGGCAGCTCGGTGTTGTGTGTCCCTTGGCTTTCCCAGGTGCAGTAGGTGGTACTGGCCAGTGCTAAGGAAATGGAAGTCTATAATTCTTCATCTTCTTATGGTGATTAAATTTCAACAGAAAAGTTTGTTCTTTACAGTCCTTCCACTGTAAAGTACATTTATCTTCAATTGTAACAAATTTATTCATTCACTTATTTATTTATTTACACAGGTGTGAAATATGTTGCCTGATTTCTAATTTACAGTTTGAGGCACTATGGGAGATTCTTTTACCAGAGATGCAGAGTGAGAAGGAGAGACGAAGGGGGACCACATCAAGTGAATCTAAGGCTGGCCTGGTAAATCCAGGTTGGGTGATCACCAAGGGAACATCTTTGAAACCAGAGGAACTGGTTTTGATGTGAGCAGATCAAAAGAGTGAAAAGGGGTGAATGTCATTTACCCAACTGAGTTCAGTTATCTCGGTGTGTACTGTGTACATCACATATACAATACAAATAATGGATAACAGTAATAATCATAGTTAACAGATGGGAGATCTTGATATGTTTACTAGGGTTATAAAGAATGTCCATAGAGACAAGAGCTCCAGATCCATATATTCTGCATGGTCACTTAGTTAGCAGGTCTGCTTCACATTCTCACACCATTGTTGCCCTGGGAATTGCAGTTCAATATGGTTAAAATTAATGATTCCCTGCATCTCAACCTTCTAGCCCTGGGGGACTTGTTCCCACCAATAATTATAGTCAGGGAACACATCAAAGCTCTCTGGAGGACATGTTGGTGACAGGAGGGCCTTCTTGCTAAATTTTGCAGGCAAGTCCAGTGTAGGACAAAGGAAGATGGCATCTGGAGACATCCCTCTGCCAGGAAGAGAGGCAGAGAAAGCACAGGAATAAAGTGAAAGACCAAACATTTACAAGGGCAACATTCAGAAGACGGTTTGAACCTTTGTGCCCAGTAGCTATATATTGCCAGTCTTGCTTCTCACTTATTTTGTGGTAAAGACTAGAAACCTTCAGCAGCAACATGGGCCTGTGGTGACAGGGACTGGGCAGAGGCTGTGCACAAACCCAGCCCCTGCCTCAGGGAGGTCACAGCCTACATGGAAAGAGGGCAAGATAAGAGAGGGAATGAGGAGGTAAAGAAATGAAGATAGTTTAGAGAAAAAAATCGGTCTTTCTTTGGTGGTGGGCCACCACTTTTCCAAGGCACTCATGTAACTGCCACTGGCCATGTTGGGAGGAGCAATTAGCCTTCCAGTTGCTTCAGATGCCTTTTTTCTTTCCTGTTTCTTCCTTCAGCCAGCACTTTTGATGTTGTGATCAAATCAAGCGAGTACCTGAATGACCTGCTGGACCAAGCATCCTTTCACTTCTTTGTGACCGCTCGGATCAATGAAACAGGAAAGATCCTGGCCATGCAGAAGGCGACGGTTCTGGAAATTCCTACCCTACGTATCAAGGTAGTTCAGGGCTGTGCTGGAGGGGAGAGACCACCATGGCTTCTGGGAAAGGGGGGTGTACATGAGTGTCTGTGTGTGCACGTCAGACCTTTGGTCTATCACAGACATTAAAAAGAAGTGTCTGTCTGGAGTGTACAGTGTGTATAGGTATGTTATATATTGTACTGAGTATCCCTACATTAAAGTCTGAAGCTGACAGCATCACAAGCAGTAGAGCACTGAAGTGATTTCCATGGTGGAAGGAGGGAAAAGATCTGAGAAAGCTTGAGAAACTCAAAGGATAAGAGAGATTACTCACTCAAGTCTCTAACTACTTCAGAAGACTATTATATTCAGAGCAGCACAGCACAGAGGCCTTTTGCTGAAGAAAGAAGGACACTGCTGTTGAGATGAATTTACTTGGAAAGCTCCTGCAGGTGTTGTGGAAAGTTTCTCCACGCCTGGACAGACAGGATCAATTTGGGACAATGCTTTCAGGTTTTCAATGCTTTGCTGCCAGTCTGTGAATGCACTCTCAGGGGGGGTCCCTGAAAGTTCAAGCATTTATGCAGGTGGGGGCATGGCATCTATTGAATTGTAGAAGTGTAATGTTTGGGATAGGACAAGGACCCTATGTTGTACGGCAAAGGCAGGGTTGAGATTTAGAGTTCTCGATTTATAACTAGGCATCCAAAAAAATTTCCTTGTTTTCAAAGGTGCTGAGCCTTCACCTGCTTTGCATGATGTCATTTGGATCTGCTTTTTTCCAAATACTAAAAGAAAATAAATCAGAACACCTGTTCAGGAAGCTTTATATAAACATGAATGCAGCTTCCTAAAATTCAGGATTTTGAAAGAAATCTAAGTTTATAGGTCTTCTTCCTGTATATTTATTTGAACTAATGTTCAGGTTTCCATATAATAATTTATGTAGTAACCACAACCTTCCGCAGAAAAGGCTTTTTTAAAAACGTAGATCAAAACTACAGTGAAGTTTGCCAAAAAATCCACTCCATTTCATGGTCTGCAGAAATCTCACTGTGATCTGATCACATTATGGTATTTTCAAACAAATATATTTTGCTGTACTGAGTATTTTAGAGAGGAGGTAAACAAGACAGATAAACTCTACTTCAAATACCTGTCTTCGGTAACCAAATTTTAAAAGTAGAGAGTTCTTTCAATTCAATACTTAAACAGAACATCTTATACAGCATCCCCAGTTTCAGCTTCAGAATAGTTTATCCTCATTGCTCTTATGCAGAAAGAACATTTAGTATATAGGACAGGTTGCTGTCCAATAACAATGTTTTCTAGTAAAACTGAGGTTGTCTTTTCTATGCTTCTTTGTGATCTGTAAAAATACACTGAAATTTTGATAGATGGATTTTTTTTTAAGTGAGTGTGTGTATATGTATTTATATGTATATGTGTGTATATGTATTTATATGTATATGTGTTTATATAGGAAACTTTGCTTTATTTCTTCTTTTTTTTTCTTTTAAGAAATCTGAGGAAGTTTATCTCCCTAGTTTTCTTGTCAGGTTTCTTCACTGAATGTGACTGGAAGGCTGGAGTTCTTACTGTGAGAGTAAGGGAGAAGAATGAAAAAAACATAGTTCCCCTCACGTCTTCGGATGCACCTTTGGTCTTTCTCTGTTGGTCTAAGGAGATTGTCAGATTTAACAGTTGAAAAAATTACACCATATTCTGATTTAGCTTGAGACCAGTTTACACAAATGTGCTCAGCAAATACGTCTCAGTCGCATGTGTGGGGATTCAGGAAGATTTCGAATCTTCCCATGTTAACAGTGACCTTAACTGGGCAGTTGAAATAAGGAGGATGTAAGACCTCTAATTGGGCTAGGACTTCTGAAAATGCCACTGACATCTGCAAATTCAGGCAGCTAAATGCTGTTGCTAGCTTAGATGTTAGTATCTCATCCTTTACTCCAGTCAATATATCAGTATTTGGTGCAGAGTGATCCCTTAGACTTTCCAGCTTTTTTGCAGCTCTCATACTCCTTAAAAATTTTCAGTAGGGCTGCAGACCCCAGTACTTTAAATTTATTGACAAAATACTTGTTTTTCTTAGTTGCCTTTCTCAAGGCCCTTTAAAGTCATCCATGGGTCAGTCAGGATCTGCCACCCCTAGGGTTAAAGCCCTTGCCTGAACCTTTTATATTCTGTGAGAAATGTTGTGCTTCTAGGGGTAAAAGCCAAAATCCCCATGCATGTATTCTTTGTTTAAAAACATATTCATATGAAGGTGATTTCCGGGCAGCTGTACTACTGGCACTGATCTGAAGGGACAGATAGACAGATCCCTTCAGCTGTGTGCTGTAACATAACACGGAAGTTAATGCAATCACTGTTCATGAGCATCACAGTGCAATATTTTCAATACACAGTTCTTGCAAATGTATTGCTTTTATGCTGTGTAAGGGATTTGGAGGAAAACTGGCTCTCAGGCCTATGCAGAGGTCATGCGCAGGGCTCGAAAACCTCCAGAGCATGAGAGGGTTGCCAGGCAGAGGGAAGATGGACATAACATCTTCGAGAGGCACGAGCAACGTGACCCAGTGTTTCAAATTCAGGGTAATAGGACTGTTGCTTCTCTTCTGGAGTTTATGTCCTGAGCAGGCCATGCACTTCAGTGCTGGTGGGGAGCCTGGAGAGGGGGCAATAATCTGGGAGAGAGGCCTCGCTCAGCTGGACTTGCCCTCCGGTGGACACAGCTCCAAGACTGTGCGTGCAGATTTCTGGATCTTCCGTGGAAATGAGGGCCTGCCTCTTGACCTGCCCACGTGGCTTGAAGGAAAATTGCAATGGGAAAAATAATCTGCACTGGTACCTATGGGCCCATGCAACAATTTTCTTCTGACTAGGCTTTCTCTGCCTCACGCTGTTTGGCTGCGTGCTCTGCTCCCCCTCCCCTCCTGCCTTGCAAACACCGTGTACTTAACCCTACAGATTTCACCGTGGGGCGTTTCATTATTATCAGCTTGTGGAGCGTTGTCCTTTCCTTGTCTTGCAGACCCAAGGTGAGACAGTAGCTGGCAAACAAATGTCTGTGACTGTGGAATTCACCAACCCTCTGAAACAAACCCTGGAGAACGTCACGCTCCGCCTCGAGGGACCCGGCGTGCTGCGAACGATGAAGAAGGAGTTCAGGTAGGAAAGAAAGCAGAGCTAGCTAGGAGTTCATCCCTTGCTTGCTCGCAGGGGCAAGCTCACAAGAGACACTTACCTAATGCTGCGCTGAGTAATTCAATTCAGACACGCTCTTTTTACTTTAAAATTCAATACACAGGGGAGCTATAGGTCTCAATAGTCAGAAGTCAGGCTGTCCAGGGAGAATCTGAGAGCATTTCATCTGTTCAGTACCAGTGTTGGAGGAAGGGGTAATGGTTGTAGGTAGTTGCTAATGCAGCCCGAGTTTACTTTTTTCACTGTATCACATTATTTTTAGCGCTTGACAATAGCACCTACGAGCCGCTATCACAGAAAGACAGATTTATCCTGCACCTGAATTGTTTACTGCCACTTGCTCAGTATGTGCAAATCAGGTCCTGTGCTGTTTTTCAAAAAGGGCTTTTCTCCACTCATGTTAATCACGATTATACAAGACGTTAAGGTACCTCAGATGATCTTTGCAAGCTGACGTCAAGACATGAAACGTGTGTTGGATGCAGCAGAACCCGCCAGGATGGCTGCAGCGGGTGTCTGAGCACACAGCTCCCCCCCGCAGCCCCACTGCATTAGAGGCATGTAGGAAGCAGGGTGCTCCCAAGCCTGAGGAAAGGGAAAGCCCTTCAGCCACCTTTGTTATACTGAGTTGCACCCCAGGACGACACAGTCGTTGGTACCTGTACGCTGAGCAAGTTATTTCCTAAACCCTCGTTTTCTTTTATTTCAGTCTTATAAGCTCAGCATTGGCCGGTTCCAGGCTATATAAACAGGATCCTTGGAAATTTTGCAGGCATTTCTTAGTCTTGGGCAGGCTAAGCAACGTTATCCATCATTACCTGAGCTGATGGTCCCCAGGTGTGTACGAAAGGAGTTTGAAAAATCGCCTGTGCTCCAGCAGCCGTATGAATTGTCAGCATTATCTGCAGCTCGTAGGGGAGGTCTGAGCCTGAGTGCACCTGGGCCAGGGATGAAAAGATCAAAACCAGTCTGCAGAGTGGAGCTGGGTAGAAAAACGCCTGTGAAAGGCCCTCATACTGTGCTTGCTTCGTCCACGTGGTACGTCACAGACGCTGCTGAACATGACTCAGCACGGTCCACATGAGTTACACAAGGTACAGCAATAGCCGTCACTGCTGATCAGCCCTGCCAGCCTCCCCTGTTGTTCTGCATCCTGCTCCACCCAAAAGCTGCTGCGGGCTGCTCTCACCTCCAAGGATGCAGAAGTTGTCAGGTGCATCAAAGGCACAGGAGTTAGGGAGAAAAATGACTCACAGAAGTAATTTTCCTTCAAGTCACCATGTTTCCCCTTTTTCAGTAGTGCCCTTGGCGTCGTTTAAAATGGAAATAGATCAGCCTAGTAATTTCAAGATTTAACTTCTCTGAGATGAATGAAGGCTGCAGGTTATACACACAGAGGACAGAGCAGGGGGCAGTTGTAGTTTATTTAAATAATAATCACATTTGCCTCCATGCATTCAGAGTGATAAATGGCTCCGGCATGGTGATGGCTCAGCATATTACGCAGAACCATTCATCACTGAATTCTGTCCCAGGAAAATCAGATTAGGGTGGCTTTACTCCATTTGCAAAGAGAATTAAACCCATTCTAGGCTTTCCCCACTCTTCCACTGCTTCCCTGTCCATCAGGGACTGCCACACATGGGATGTGTTTTTTGCAACTTTTTCTGGGGATGAGACTTTTGACCTCTCTGTATTTTTAAGGTAGCTTTTCTGTATCACTTGGGTGACTTCACAAAACAGGCATGTGTGATCCAGCTGATACAACATTATTCTGGGAATGAAGTGGCTTAGGGGCTTCAGCCTTGATCATTCATAAAGACTATTCATATATATATATAGAAAGAGAGAGTGATATTTAGGATATTTATTTAGCTATTAGCCTCAGACAGATGAGCATGACTTATGGAAAAGCCTTTGGCAGCAGCAGCTCCTACATGGGGCATAGTCTTTGCAGGACAAATGAGAATTAACCAGGCAGTGATGGATAGTGTTAAAAGGCTTTTAGCCAAGCATGCATTCACACTAGCAGGCAAGTCACTTTGGGTCTTTCTACATGTCAAAGTTCAGCATTTGTAGAGAGAAGCAAGTCATTTTAGGAGTAGGACTGTAGAGAAACGGGAAAAGGTGGGTTTGGTTTCCCAACACAGCTGTTGTATTCCTGCTCACACGCACACATATATAAATATATATATGTGCAGAGATGATAACATTATAAATCAGAGATGGTAGTGCTACCTTCTCTCACTGGGGCACTGCGAAGATGTGGTCTGGAAACCTTCATCCTTGGAGAATCTGGCCCCCAAGTGCTCAAGAAAGTAGACCAAACCTTGCTGCACAGCAGACTTGTATAATATCTCCTTCACTTTTCATACAGATAATCCGTTGCAGATCATTCCCATAAACTCCAAATTTAAAAATTTATTTAACCTTCTGCAGTAATTGAAGTCATTGCTTTATCATGCTACTGTTGTAGTGGGTGTTTGGTGGAGCAGGCAGGCCAGCTGAGGGGAAGAGAGTCTCTCTCATTAAGAACAAAGATAAAAAGAGGGAAAACACTGGCTGGAAGCGGTCTGCACATGCTCACACCAAAAATATGATCTTCCTCTGCTTTTTCTTTTCTAAAACTGGGTACATGCCCCAGGGTACCTATGACTGTATATGCAAAATGCAGTGCCATGTGGAGATACCTAACCTAACCTCTAATGAGCTAGAATACCTCTCATTTTAACAGGGGAATACTTACACTGAAACAAATATTCAGGTGGGAGGATCCCAGGCTAGCTCTTTTATACCTAATTAAGGTTTCTTGTCTTGTGGCTAAGCCTCAGCAGTCATTTCTGTCCTGACCCTGGCATAGGACGTGGCATTTGAGAGCCAAATCCTACCAGATGAGAATTTGAAACAGTGGCTAAAGTTTAGGCTTACTTTACTCTCACTTTATTCAGTTGTTTGCAGAATACAGTAGCCATGTGAGATGAGAACACTGGCAAAATTCACAATCCTCTTCCTTAATGCTGAGGAAAAGAATGTTCATTTTTATAAATAGCTCCCCGCTATGCTACCTTTTCCATTGGTTCTTTTGGAGCAGTTGTATCCTGACAACCCCCAAACATAATCAATCAATCAATATCAGCTTTCAAAATCTGCACACAGAATGTAGTGAAAGCACTGAGAAAACACAGAAACCCAATACTTGGGGTTCTCCGTGCATCTTAATTGTAGCAAAAAATTGAAAATCAAGAGCGGTGCAGAATACAGTTGCCTTATAGTATGAGGTTTCAAGTCATACATAATGTAGAGCAGTAACTGCTGACAGCAGGACTCCCAAGAACACTTTGGCTTATTTGTATGGACATGAAGAAGTAATCTGAAGTGTCCAGTGAGGAGATCTGGGGGTGTTACAGCCGTGGCAGGGAGGTACAGGGTAGGAGTTGTTGAGGGGCTCAGTATCTCATCAGCATTGTATTATTTGGTTTGCATGAGAATACCCTGGACAATTTGTAACATATTTAACCATTTAAGGTGTCACCAAGAGGCTGCAGGCTATAATAAACAAGTAAAATGGAATTATGAAGTAGAAAAAATAAATATGTTAGCTATAAAGAAGATTATTCTGAAAGCGATCATGAGAAGAAGTGACAGGAGGCAGAGAAAAACTGATTCATTTTGGAAATTTAAAATTAGCCTGGAGGAAAGGCTAGAAAAGTCTTCGACAGTCATTTCTCCAAGGAATAGAAGATGGAGGGAATAATTTATAGGACACTATGAGAATGAGGGAAACATAAAAAATGTGAGATGTGTTAACACTGTCCACCTTCAGTTTTTCCAGTTGTGGGTCAGGTTGAGAGCGCTGGCTGACTGATCACAGTATTGTTACTTTCCTTTGTTCCCACAGGCAAATCCCCGCAAACTCTACCTTGATCTGGGAACTAAAATGCATCCCAAAACAACCAGGGTTACGAAAGCTGATTGCGAGCCTCAATTGTGATGCTCTGAGGCATGTGTATGGTGACCTGAAAGTCCAGATTCAGAAACCATGATCAAAGGTGCTGCCTTCATCTCTCATTAGCTGTATTTCAAAATGCTGGGAAGGGGGCTGGCAAGGAGGGGGAAGAGGTAGAAATCTACTTACTGTTGATTTGGGCATCCTTGTGCTGAACAAAATTTGATAAAGAAAACTAATCAGTAATGCTGGAGAGAACTTGTAAAAGCACCTGGATAGTAAATGATTTAAAATTAGATACATACAATTAAAGGCAATTCTAGGCCATATTATTCCTATGGTTCACCTGTATTTATAGTCTTTTGCATTTGTGCTGTAAGGGAACCTGAAAAGCTCCGTTCACCAAAGTAGTCTGAACTTTAGTTTTAATTAAGGCCTGATATTTCACTGAAAAAGGGGAGGAGGGGGGTTGGAAATAGCCAGTGTTATAAATTCTGAGACTGAATTATACAACCTTAAGGTAGATCATTCAGACTGCAATAAAAACAGGTATTTCTAGCTAAAGGGACTGCTTTATCTTACAGTGTCACAATTTTCCAATTCATGGAGACCTTACTTTGCTGGAAGCATTTCTTAGGATGTGCTATCTCCACAACATTCCCAGCTCCTTGTTTCCTCTTGCTGCTTCCCTATGCTGTCTCACTTCTTTCACGTGTGCAGGCACCCACACATACTCTCCCCTGTATTTCATGCCCTCATCCCACCCTGTACGCTGTTGATACACTGTTCCTCTCCATTGCCTGATGAAAATCCAGAGTTCTTCATGCCCCTGCTCAGAGTTCATCACACTAAACCTGCATTTTCTGGCCACATCTCTTGTATGGCGTGGTCTCTCTTACTATTTTCTGCCTTTTCTTCCCTCCTGAGCCACCCTGTAGCCCCATTTCCATGCACGCATGTGTGTGTGTGTCAGGGAGGGGTTCCCTGTCCCAGAGCAGTCCCGACTCTGACAGCTGGTCGGTAGGGTGAAGGAGAGAGCAGTGGAGGGGGCAGCCTGGGGATCTTCTCCTGCCAGCCCCACAAGCCTAGAAAATATCCTGCACTGGAGCTGCCACCTGGGGATGAGTCCAGACTAAACCATGCCTGAAAGCTTCCTGAGAATCACAGGTACTGCCTCCCAAGGCATCGCTCCTCCCCTGCAGACCTTCTGGCCCAGAGGCTGCCCTGAATCTGTGGTTTCCACTAGTCTCCATGCGGGGTACCGCTCCACCCTAAACCACGTACCCCATTGTGCTAGGGCAGCAGGGGGGTGGGCGTTCAATTCTCACCTCCCCTGAAATCTTTCTGGGGATCTTTTTCCATGAGGCAAAGATGCACGTGCCACAAGCTGCGACAACCCCTCTCCTCTGGCCACAGTGTGTAAGAGTGTGTCCCACCTGGACAACACAGGTGAGCTAGCTGAGATTCCAGGGATTCCAAAAGGAGCCTCATGGTCCTTAAACAACAGGGTTTTATTGTGCTGTGCATGGCTGTGTCATTCCGTGATCTCCTTAGTGAGAAAGCAAGGGAAATGGCCTGCCTTCTGCTCCTCTTCCTGCCACACATTGCCTCCTGCAAAACTTGCAACCAGCTGTTAATAATGAGCAAGCCCTGGGATGGGAGAAATGCAGGCTGTTCTTTTGCGGAAGGATGTGGAACAAAGCAAAGATTCACACCACCTTATATGCTCCAAGAGTACTCCTGGGTCCAGGAACACCAGACATCAGGGGGCTTTCACTTCAGGCGTGGGCACATATTCATTCTGTACAGCTTATGTGACCACATTAGAAACTCTGCAATGTCAAAGTCTCCCAGATAAGTCCTCAGGGGTACAGGGGGCTGAACAGTGTGTTGTAAAAGCAAGGTGACAATCTCTGTTAAGTAATTAAGCATTCCTACCAGAGTCTACATAATCTAAGAAAATGACTCATTTTTTGCTCTTGTGTATAAAACCTGCTTTTCTTTCCAGACTTTTTATAACCACAGTGTAATGACAATTTGAAATAAAGCATGTCTGATAGCACTTGTGTCTTGTGTTCTCTATTTTGATCACTCACTTCTTCTACATAGTAGCACTGTAGACACCACTTGCTTCATCTTAATTGTAAAAGTTAAAAAATTTGCTTCTGAGCCATGCTAATAAGGATGCCTTTTTTGGTGCTAAGGAGAAAACCCTATCTTTCTTTTTAAAAGTAACAGCCAACCATTTACAGGCCCAGGTTAAATATTTGCCTTCATTTTTCTTTCTGTTTTAACAACTGACTACCTCATGTGTTGGAGCGGTGACAATTTCCAGCACAACACTGTGCCAGCAAAGAGAATTCCCAGATTCCCTTTTAAATTCCTTTTAACCTGTCAGAGCCATTAAGCAGCTGGTATCCTCCTAATGAAACCTTACCTACATCCTACATCTAAAATGTGTTTCTCTCAACTAAAATATTTCAAGGCATTTTGCTGACAGTCATTAATCTGAACAGCGTTCACCAGGAGGCAGGAAGTATTTTTATCGATAGTTTACAGAGGGGTATATTGACATGAAGAAAAGTTCAGTGGTGACTCGGAACAGAAGCCAAGGATGTCAACAGACCTTGGCATCACCAGCCCGCTCACTCTGTGCAGAATTGTGCACAAAAGACCTAAGGGCAAAACAAGGATGGCCTCTAGGATTTCAGCCACTCATCACCCTGTGCACGGGCTGTCCCATGAATCACAGGTAAGATCTGGCTGAAGCAGCGGTGATTGCTGTGACAGCACTATGTGTGTGCACAGGAAATAATCCATCGACAATAAGGTCAGATTGCAACCCAAAATCTGGAGGACCTTTGAACCTGAAAAGAGTTGGTCAGACTCTTCAGCTGAGGGTCTCTTTGGCATGGGGTGAACTTGTGTCCTCAACCCAACCATCACATCTCAGAGATGGACTGGGGAGGAAAGGCATCCAAAACCAAACCCCTCCTTCCACAGATCCCACCCTCCAGCAGTTCAGAGAAGCCCAGAGCAAATAAAAGTCTGTGCCCTCCTGAAAGCGCACCTCATCTGTTACTGACTTGTTACACCCCAGCCACCTGGGGTCGGTGGGCTCTGATATGCACCGCTGGACTGCCCCCCTGACGTCTTCAGTGGGAGCGGGAGCACATGTAACAGCAAGCCGACCGTGTCCCAGGCTCTGCACCACGCAGAGTCTGACGTTAGTGAGGAGAGTTTCTCTTCCTCTTTGCTGGGATGAGCACAAGTGAAAATTTCTTCCTTCCCACTGTCTGATCTACTGGAGTTTATTCTTACGTACTTACTAACACATTCCACAGCTTGTTCTTTCTCCATTGGCTTCCCAGTAGATCCAAATGTGCTAAATGTAATGCATTTCACATGTGCTGGGTACTTAACATTTGTTCTCCTTTGTTATATCTGAAACTTTCCTTACCCACCTGCTAAGATGAAACCCTTTGATGACCTGTAATTAACCACTCGTGAGCTATGTGTAGCCAGGGGCCTCCAATATCATCCTACACCTGTTATCATCCCATGCTACCGATCCTTTCTGCTGAATTTTATTTTAGGGTCACAAATAGTTCATTCCTCACAGAATAACTATCTGTTCTTACTGTTTATTAGTTGCAAAAAGTATATATAACAGTAAACATTTCACCATGAAATTGGATAAAGCAAAGCAAAAGCTAAAACAAAGCCGGTAGCAGACATCAGATCGTTAGATAATTGCTCTTACAGCTAAACAAAGCACAAAAAAGCTTCATAAGTTCTGATACCTGTGCTGGTAGCTTATCACCAAGCTGTGACCTTTCACTAGCCACGCAGCATCTTATTTGTGGGCCAAAATCAAAGAATGTGACTGAGCATTGGCTTTTCTAATGACTGGTGCTGCCAGTGATAATTTGTTTGAACTGAAACTAGTCAATAAATGCTCTGCCAAATAGGTGACACCCCCTGCCCTCCACCCTTTTCTCCTGATGGGGACTTAAATACTGCCCTTTCCTCAGCATATTGCTTTCACATCTGTCCTTGCTTCCCCTGAGGAAGAGGCTGCTGGTGTTAGTGTCTGAACTTGAGTGAAGCAATGGAGGAAGATGAACAAGTCAAAGAGGGTGGGAAGTGTCTGAGCTTGTTCAGCCCAGTTATGAAAGAGGAAAGTCAAAGCATACTGTGAGTGTTGAGGGAAGGAGGGGAATTGCGGAAGATGACCAAGTCAAAGAGGGTGGGAAAAGTGTCTGAGCTTGTTCAAACCAAAATTAATAGCCCAGTTATGAAAGAGGAAAGTCAAAGCATACTGTGAGTGTTGAGGGAAGGAGGGGAATTGCCCTGTATATTGGAGCTGGCATGATAGCTGGTACTGAGTAGGGGTGTGATATGCACATTGGAGTAGCACTGGTGATGGAAGATGGTGCCTGAGAGAAAATAGAAGGTTTTGACAGACAGGTGAGAGGGATTTACTCAGTGCTTAAAGGCAAAGTTGAAGAGATTGAGTTGAATATTGAAGACAAGGACTGCATGCTGAAGAGGTGAAAACATGACCAAAATGATGAAAAGCGAAGACTCCTGGTGGGGAGAAGTGGTGGGGGAGGAGAGAGAAAGGCCCCAAGGCTGTGCTGCCTAATACAGGGAATCAACAGGAGAGGCTGGCAGTGGTGGCAGAGGGCAGACCTCCTGGCAGTCACTGGAGTTGGATGTCACTGGCAGCACAGGATTCACCTCCTCCATGAGTGGGTCTGTAAGTCTACACGGAGGGACGTGGCTAGGCTCGGGAGCCAGCTTTGTCTGCAAGGCTGGCAAATCTCAGGGAAAGGAAAGTCAGAAGGTGGGTTGGGTGCTGGAAACAAGGGCACTGCAAGGCAGGTGCAAACCAAATGCATGGCTAATTGTGCACTAGGAGGGGACCCAGGCCGAGCTTGGTGTTTTCCTGAAGTCACCTGCAGCCCAGCTCAGACGTGGCTGTGCTTATCTGGCCTCTGCAGCATTAGTCTGGGAATAAAAGGGACCCCTCGTGACTGCTCACTCAACTCATGCTCAGGTTTTGGCTAATAGACAGCTCATGCTAGGGTCTGA